CTGTTGAAAATGGCCGGTATTCTCTACTCAAATGAAGAAAAGTTTGACATGTTAGCGCTGTACTTGCTGTCACACAGAAACGCTGACATTACCTCAGCAATGTACTTGGAGATGTACCCCGAATGACGGCAGCCTCATAAAACCCAATTTAGAAAAATAGTAGTGCATTTAATGGAGCCTTCGACCAACCTAGAAGCGGATACAATATTGAAAATGAAAATCGCGACAGAATCATTTTACAAGCTGCCAACGAAATCCCTAGTGCATCAGTAAGAACTATAGAACGAGAAATTGATGTGTCAAAATCAACAGTACCGAAAGTGTTAAATAAGAATAAGTATCATCCATACAAACCTATATTAGTTCAAGGACTTAAGGAAACTGATTTTGCAAGGCGAATGCGCTTCTGTGAGTGGTATACTAGGAAGTCTAATGAAAATCCCGATTTTGTAAATCATGTCTTGTGGTCTAATGAGAGCAGGTTTACGAATTGTGGAGTTTTTAAAAAGCACAGCACTCATCATTGAGCTGTGGAAAACCCTCATTAAGTGGCGGAGAGACGTTTACAGACCAGATTTGGAAATAACGTTTGATATGGGGTCATAGGTAATTTAATCTAACTTACCGTTTTTAATTGGGCACCTAATGGAGATTATGTATTAATCATTTCAGGAAATAGACTTATAGGACCATTTTTGTTTGACTACGACCTAAACGGACAGAGGTATCTAGAGCTTTTGCGTCGCCAGGTTGTGCCGGCTTTACGAGCTAGTCTAGCCGAAAATGAGCCTAGAAGAACCTGGTTCCAACAAGATGGATGTCCGGCTCACAACACCATTCAAGTCAGGAACTTCTTAAGAGAGCAATTTGATGAAAGAATAATTTCATTAAATGGTTCACTATCTTGGCCTCCTAGATCGCTTGAACTTTCACCCTTCTATTTCTACCTCTGGGGTTATACAATGAATGGGGGTCTATGAATTTGATCCCACCACGATGATAGAAATCCTGAGACAAAGAATTTTGAGCACAGTTGGAAACATACCAGAAATACACTAGCTAATGTTGTACGAAAAATAGTCACAAATTGTCAACAATGTCTGGATGCAAATAGACGTTATTTTGCAAATCTGTAAATTAATACCCACTTATATTACAATTTTGTAAAATGTCTGTTTGTTTAAGTGTAAAATAAATGTACGACTTTTAACACACTCATCGTTGGGAATTTGTCCCAAAACATTTGACTTGTTGAGAACTCGATATTGACGTTAATATTCCTTACTCATTAGTGTTATTTTCTGACAAATAAATCATAGCCAAAAAAACTAATACATAACATTACGTGTGATATTTCGGTGATACTCCAATCTTTTATGCACACGTGAGACATCACTAGACTGGAAATTTTACACTCTTTACAAAAATCAAAAAATCCAATATGGCGGCCATAAGAAAATGAAAGTTGTGACGGATTGCTAGAAAACAAAAGACGATTGAGACATGTCATACATGTTATCTTGCTTTTCTTTTAAAAAATGTCCGAATAATGTCACATTTTGACAGGTTTAAAATTAACCGTTTTGGATTTACTGGCAAAAAACAAATTCCGCCATTTTCGATTTTTCGCTGATATTTTCAAAACTAATTGATAGATCGTGAATCTGCAGCCGGCTATCGAAAGCACTAAGTTTCATCTAAAACTGTCCCCATTTAACCTTTGCGGTACGAGTATAACAGGAGCAGAGATCCCTGTATAGAGAAGCGAATCTGGGACACACTGTATAATAATAATAATAATAATAATAATAATAATAATAGACGTCTTTATTTATCCACAATTACATTGTACGTGTCAAACTTACATGGCGAAGTGTAGCATGCTGCTACTCTTACACTTAACCATATTGTCTCTAGCAGATGTTCAGAAGAATACACTATCCACAAAAAGATTTGGTTCATTACATCGAAAGTAAAATTTAAAAAAGGAGAAAAAGGCATACTTTCCAAGCCCAAGTACACCAAAAAATTATTAATCTGAATTAAAGACGGAATAAAAAAGAAATGAATTATTACGTAAATTATATGTTGGAGGGTTGAGTAATAATGTTTTAACTTTTTTTCCAAAGAAAGGTAATGAAAATTCTTTATATACTTTAGGAAGGTCATTATAAATAATAGGAACATTGTAAGAAAAACTGCGTTTAAAAAGTGTAGACGTATGCAGGGGTATTCTAATATTATTTTCTCTGAGAGTTCTACAGTGAACATCATTATTAAATGAATTTTTTTCCCTCAAGTAATAAGGTTTAGACGTGAGCAGCAACTTGTGAACAAAAACTGAATAGTAATACTTGACCATGTCATTAATTTTTAACCAGTTTAGAACGGGATATTTCGCTGATACATCATCAAATTTACGTAAGTCAAAGATGAAACTTATACAATTGTTTTGAATAATTTGAATAACGTTTTTAGTGAAATTGTCTTAACAAGTATAGTATACGATATTACAATAATTTAGTATAGATATGACCAATGCTTCACATAGTTTTTTACGCAACTTAAAATTTAGTAAATACCTGTTTGCTATAAGAGTACGCAGCCATAGGTAGGTTTTCTGGGAAAGACTTTTAACATGATCAATAAACCTTAATTTTGTATCAAAAACAACACCAAGAATTTTTGCAGAATCAGAAAATTGCAAGATTTGGTTATTTATCTGAATGTTCAAGAGCTGTGTTACATTGTATGTTTTTCTTTGGGCGCAAAATAATAACATTTTAGATTTTTGTGGATTAATAAGTAGACTGTGATCTAAAGAGTTTTTAATTAATTTACTAACATCGTTTTGTAAAATTTGAGTAGTATTATGACATTATCTGGGTTAAAATAATGGTGCAATTGCGTATCGTCTGCAAATGACTGGACATGAGAATTATCAATGCTTTTGCTCAAGTCGAACGTATATACGTATATGAGGAACAGAAGCGGCCCCAATACAGAGCCCTGAGCTACGCCTAAGGGAATTATTGTCACTTGAGACATTTCTTGACTGAGATAAAGGTAACTTAAGACATATGTAATTTAATTTATCAAGCAATAACTTATGATTGATGCTGTCAAAGGCCTTCGAAAAGTCTATAGAAATTAACGCTAGTGCCATTTTCTTATCTAAGGCACTTAAAATATTGTTGTATTGATTGAGTAGGGCAGATGTTGGACTATATTTTTTTCTAAAACCGGATTGAGTGCCGGGAAGTATAAAGAATTTTTCTAGGTAAGCGGTCAATTGGAACTTTATAATTTTTTCTAAAATTTTGGATAAAATTGGTAATAAACTGATAGGTCTGAGATCATTATACTCAGTGGGTTTCATTTTTTTAGGAATTGGAATAATTAGAGCTTGTTTTCATGTGTTTGGAAAGTAGCCTTTTTCTAAACATTCGTTAAAGCTGTGGACGATGTGACGGAGAACAAATGGCAGGCAAAGCTGGATCATTGACAGGGATATATCATCAATTCCCTTCGCATCAGATTTTAGGCTCCCTACTGCCTGTAATACGTCATTTGAACTAATCTTATTCAATGAAAAAATATATTCAGAGCTTAATTTATTTTTGAAATACTTCTCACAAACTAATGAATCAACAGGTTTGTAGCTATAAGCAGACATAAAATAATCATAATTTTGCTAGGGTCATTAAAACTTGCTGGAAGGGTTGGTTTACTACGAAAATTTATATCAACTTGTTTGAGAGACTTCCACAATTTTTTTGAATCATTTTTATTTGCCAAGTTTTCGATATATGTCTTTTTGTCTCTCCTAATTATGTTAAGAGCACGGTTTCTAAGCGATTTGAAGTTATTATAGGCGTCCACGGTCTTATTAACTTTATATAAAGCTTGTGCAGTATTCTTTTCATCAAGAACGGTGCGCGGTTCATTAGTTAACCAAGGTGATAGTGGCTTGTTAACTCTTACAGTTTTAAAAGGTACATGTTTATTATAGGTTTCCACGATAATGCTTATAATGTTCATTCCCTTCTCATCAATATTAGATTTCGTAAATAATTCGTCTATGCCCGATGTAGAAAGATCGATAAGAAAATGATCCTCACTGAAATGTTTAACGTAAAATCCCTGATTGTGATAAATTTTTGTTTTCTTTTATAAGATGGAATATCAAAATGAAAAAATACGAGAATGTGATCCGAAATACCATTCGTGTCCATGACGGAAGAATAGCTGCATGTTTGAGGATTATTTAAAAATATTGGATCGATTAATGTTGCAGTACTATCTGTGACACGGGTGGCTTCCGTTACGATTTGTGTGAACCCCATCATCTCAAAACTCAGTGAGAATATATTATTATTAAAAAAAATTATATTCAGATCTCCCAATATCACGATGTTATGATAATATAACGAAAGTCTGGGTAGGAAACCATTTAATAAATCTGCAGATATATATGTCTATATACACTTCTCTCTCATACATATTGAACTTGAGCTGTCAGACAAATTTGGTTCTCAGTGTATGAAACATAATATCAAGGCCGACCTAGAAAATTATATTTTTTGGAATATCTTAAGGTTTGGCAATGTCAATGTATGACATATTATACATTTTTGGAATCAAATTTAAAAACACTATTCATCTGTGAAAAAATCCAATGTGATGCCCTCAAGAAAAATAAAGTTGATGCTTGAGGACAAGAGACAAAACGCCATATTGGAATCCTAATTATGCCATCGTGTGAAGGAGAAAAAATGGCGAAGTTATTGTGCAATTTATTTTGAGATCCCTATACAAATAAAGTCATGAAAAAATAAAACGGTTGTGGGAAAACTCTGTTTTGTCCGTATCTCTACTGAGGTACTTTATATTTTGAAACTTTCTACGCAAATAAGCGGTGAGGGTCGAATTTGAAAGACCCGGTATAGAAAAAAGTTGTTAATACAATTTTGTATTTATACGATCAACGTTCATTCCAGGTTAGAAATCAACCTAATAAGAAAAACATCATTTATGCGTGGTGTCATATTGTCCTTCATTATGTTCAGCACAAGACTGTCCATATTCGTAAGCATTCTATACTACGTACTGTCAGGAAATACGGATATTACCGCTGAAAAGGTGTTTGTAATAACATCTTTCTATAACATACTCCGTCAAACTATGACCGTTTTCTTCCCGCAAGGAATCTCGCAAGTTGCTGAAGCCAAAGTCTCGATTAGAAGGTAAGTTATACATGATTTTACTAATAAAATATAAGCGTAAAAAATATTATGATCAGGAAAATATTAAAATGTACAGAAGTAAATTTTGTTTCTTTCGTGTTTCCCACCTCCTTCAATTTGACCATGCACAGGGGTCATTCTTAATAAATAAATTTGAAGAAGTTTTATGTTTTGACTTGAATTTAAATTACCATTGCGAGAGCTTCTGTCCCTATTTCTCAAGCTAAAACAATATTTTGAATGCGTATTAAAAAAGATGTATACAGTCTACGGACATATAAAGTACTTTCACACTCATAGCATACAGGTATGCGAGACCACAAATATTTAGAGTAGGTAAGTGTTGTTAATTTTAGTGAAGTAGCCAAAATATATTTGGAATATTTTATTACATAAATTACAAAAACAATGTATACATAGGCTTAAAATAAGAGAAAATAGTGAGGAGCCCCTGACATAGTTTCCTGATCTGTGAGGTTGGAAAACACACACAAAATATGAACTGCTTTATACGGTCTTTTTCATGAGTATACATTACGCTAAAATGATAGCTAATTACCTAGTAATATTTCAAAATTCCCCATATCCGCAAAGGACACAATTCTGACGGATCCGTCAATGCCAGGTAGACAGAGCCATAATTTGTTTTGATTCTTTGTACACTACAGATTCATTTTGTACTTGCTAAAAGCTCTTTTATTTAGGAAGGTCCATTTGCATACAAAAAACAATACCCTACAAGCAAGTTTTACTACATTTACACCCGATTCATTATTGCCAATGTTGCAGTCTAACACAAAAGGTCACTTGCTGATCAGCTGTTCACCCCACTAGACGTCAAACCGTGATGAATACTCGTGAAATAGGGTATAGTATTTTTCACGAGTATCCATTACGTTTTGACGTCTACTGAGGTAAACAGCTGATCACAAAAGCGATATCTTTGTATTAGTCTGTAACGTTGGCAATGATGAGATTCAGGACCATATTCAGAGCTGTTGTTCACATATCTGGAATATACTTTTGAGTAACTCTGAAATGTGACAATAAAATGTTAAAAGTACATATATAAAAATTTCTATTAGAAAATTAATATAGCATATCTGGGTGCATTGTCCTTTCCAGAAGCTGTAATTTTTTCTTTAAAAAATAATATAGACACGTACTTCTGGTTTATTTCCCGTTAGCAATATAACGTACAACAAATACAGGTTAAGCATGTAAAAATTAATAATGAATGCAGCTTGTTTAAAACACCACACTGATGTAAAAGAAATTGTTCTTGCACATTACATCAACCTACAAATTAAATAGTTACAGGCATGTTAATTGTATGGCTGTTTCATTGCCCTTTGAAATCATATGGCGTTTCAAGTTCTAAAAAGTAGAGATGATAACATAGTCAAAAACTGTTTATCGTATTTTACTCCTACCTGATTTGAAACGTAGTCATGATCATTAGCAGCCATTTAGCTTGTAGCGTTTTATTATATGCAAAGGAACTTTTCTAACAAAAAGATTTGTTAGCAAGTATAAAATGAATCTCTAGCATACAGAAAACCACAACAAAATGCGGACCTGTCTACCTGACGTTGACGGATCCCTCAGAATCAATTATGTTGTCATTTGTAGATACAATCTTGAAATATCACTAGATAATCAGCTGTTAGTCTACCGTGATGGATACTGGTGAAAAATACCTACCGTATGTGTTGTATTTACATTTACAACAGAGCCTGACGAAAGAGATGTCGCCAAATAAATTTCTTTTTATAAACAAAATATCGCAATTTTTTTAATTCATAAAGCAGATCCACGGGCATGATTATTTAATATTATTTTTCATTATGTCATTTAAAGTTACTTGTAGAACCGTTGCCAAATGTCATGACTGCCTACGGACGCACAGTGTGACATTTTTCCGATCTAGAATCTATTTGCATCATTTGCGGCATTCTGTTTTTGACAGATGCTTATCAAATTGACACTTAAAAACATCCTGAATTGAAAATAGCTGTTCCATAGGTTACAGTTCACATACTATCCTTTATCTGTTTTAAGTTAAGAAAATCTGTAAGGGGTATTTTGTTAAAGGACCTTAAATTGCACCCATATAAACTTCAACTAGTGCAGGAATTGAAACCTCAGGACCATCATCTATGCCGGGCGTTTGCCGGCACAATGTTAGAGCGCTTTCTAAGTTTCAACAATATTCTCTTTTCTGATGAAGCTCATTTTCATGTGAATGGACTTGTCATTAAGCAAAATTACCGGTATTGGGCCGCAGAAAATTTCAAATTAAAACATCAACGATCTTTGCATTCGCATGTTGCAGTTTGGGCGGCCGTGTCGGCTGAAGGAATCATCGGACCCTATTTCTTCGAAAACGGGCAAGGCCAGACTGTAATCTTAAAATGACCCACCCTGTATCATAAGAATTATAAGTATTTCTTCATGAAACTGCTACATACGTGCTTATTGTCTAAAATTTGTCGTATAAATTATGTCTCCCGAATTGGCAAAATGTGACACTGTGAGACGTGGTACATGGTGAATCACGTTCTGTGGACAAGATGAAAATGGCAAAAAAAAGTTTGAAAGAAATAATAGAACAGTTTGGAAAAAGTGTGTATCTTCAAATTTTCAACAATAGTTAATTAAAAGACACCTTTTTCAAAATCTTGTTCGTGAAGTATTTTTAGAGTGTCGTTATATACGTAATTAAGAGATTTAATTTTTGAGTTCTGATATCCACACGTTACAGATTTTTGATCATATTAATTTTATTCATAATTTGAAGGCTGAATCAGTTCATGCTATACGATGAAACTCAATTAGCAAAAGCTATAAAGGCAAAGGACTTTCATGAGAAGCAAAACGCAAAACCGGAAGATAAAAATGGAAAAGCTGGCGAGCAGTCCTATGGAGGTGATACTACTAAGGAGCCTTGCGTTGTCTTAACCAATGCTACTGCCAAGTGGAGTGATGGATCAATGGATAATACTCTGACTGATTTAAATTTGAAGGTAAAATGATCATGACATGTTAGGATTGAACTGGAAAATAATTTTACTAGTTATCGTAAGCCCTTAAAGATATTTGAACAAGCACATTCCATACGCCCCCCCCCCTTGCTTTAGCTTGAGAAGTAAAGTGTACCGAATAGGGTACCCGCTTCTTAAGATGGTTGGTCACGTTTTTCTATGTATATAGCGGTACATGCTTTAATAATGCTATTATTAGGTTTTATACATGTTATTCAAAAATCTAAGATTTTTTTATCCATTGTTTTGTATCTTATTTCCATACTTTCTCGAAAAATATCAATGAGGCCGAGTTCAAATTTCGTGTCCACATTAAGTAAAAGTATGTTAATATCCTGAACCCAGTGTTTTTTAGACAATATAATAATAATAAACGTCTTTTTATTGATGGGCGAAGTTTAGCTTGAAGCTATTCTACCACTTAACCCTTGAATATTAAAAAAATACAATAACGGTTATAAATATATAAAAGAATATACCTGAGTATACTTATAGTAAATAATAAAAATTTAATCATACATGTGAAAGTACTCAGAAAAGGAAACATTTTGCGAGGTGAGTGGCCAAACTATGTAGGTGATAAAAATGAATTATTTAATTTAGTTTTTAAAGTCATTGTAAGTTAGTGATTTTAATGCCTGAGGTACTTCATTATAAAGCGTTACCGCGTTGTATGTGAAGCACTTATGAAATAATGAGGTTTTGTGAAGAGGCATTGTGAGAGTCTCAGTAAACCATGTGTCCCTTGTGTGAATAGAATTTCGAGGGATCAGCTTGTTCTTTAAAAACGAGGGAATCGAAGTACGTAAGAGCTTATGAGTGTCAGTTAATAAGTGTAGCTCATAATAGCTCTCTCACCTTCAACCACCGCAAGTATCTTAAGGAACTGCTTGTATGGTCAAATTTTCTTAAATTATTTATTAGTCTGCAACATGTATTTTGAATTTTTTGTAAACATGAAAGAGATATTGTATCTAAAGTTTATAACTATATCACAGTAAGTAATTTTGGACATAATTAATGATTCGCATCAGACTTTTTTAGTTTGATAATCGAGAATTTGTTTATTCAGATATAATTGACGTAGGATCGGAAAGCAGCTTTCAGTAACTTTGTTACTTAAAACACTCGTCAAAAAGAATTCCCAAGTTTTTGACTGCTTAATTAATTTCGATAGTAGCACCATCTAAGCTAACATTAAACTTATTTTTAACATGATTTCTAAAAGCTTTAGGCGAAAAGATAATCAATCACTTTTGAAGGGTTTAGTTTGAGGTTATGATTGTTTGCATATGCACTAATTGATTTTATATCTTCATTAATTTTATTCAGCAATTTGAGTGTTGCTACTATGGAAGTGATTATAAATTTGAAAGTTATCAGTAAAAAGTTGAATATCACAATGTTTGACAAATGTGTTGTAGTCGGCGATATATAAATTAAATAATAATGGTCCGAGTACAGAACCTTGGGGTACTCCAGATGAAATGGCATATTTTAGCGACACTTCCATATCGATAGTTACTCTTTGGAAGCAATTAGCGAAAAAGCTACCCATCATATTTATGAAGGAATCGGAAAAACCGTGAAATTTAAATTTAGCAAGTGGCACACGAAGATTCAGACTATCGAATGCCTTACTAAAATCAAGAAGTGCGAGTGTTATCATATGCTGATTCCGCGTTCTAACAATGTTGTCTGTCTGCTCCAACAATGCACCTGCAGTATTGTAGCCCTTTCGGAAATCACATTGTATTGATGGTAATATTTGAGTTTCCGATAGATATTAATTTATTTGAGCGTACATTCCCTACTCCAATAATTCAGATAGCACAGGTAGGATTCAGAAAATAATCCGTTCATTAGACAATAATTTATAATATCGAAATAACAGGGAAACATAATTTAAGCATCCTAAGCGATATACCGTCACTTCCTAAGGCATTTGATTTTATGGATCGAAAGCATGAACCTAATTCGGTTATATTAATTGGTCTAAAATTGAAACTGTTATTAGAATAATGATTTTTGTCATAGTATTCAATCAATCGTCTTATCTTTGTTGAAAACTAAACAAAAGTAATCATTAATTTCAACTGAGTTTCTTGAGTGGGTGAGGATATCTGCATTTTTTGGGAACTGCACACGCATAGATTTTAAAGCTTTGTAAAATGTTGTAGACTCACTCTGTTGACGAAGATACGAGAGATAGGCCGCTTTTTCACTCCTGATTTTTGCCAATGTTGAATTTCTTAGTTGCTTATGCTTCCGATTTATCAAATTTGAACTGACTGAGAGCTCTGTTTTTCTTTTTCATTAAAAGTTTGAGATCAGGAGTGAGCCAGTGAGCAAATGGTTTATTTACACTAACAATTTTCAAAGGTGCCTGTCTATGAAACATAAATTGTATCCCATCAATTAAATATGTGATTTTGTCATCAATATCATTAAAAGAATAATATGCTATCCCAAGGATAGTTGAGAATATCATTTTGAAAGTTAGTAATTTCGAAATGTTTAAAACATCTGAATTTCACAAATTTTTGTTTGGGCTCATTGGCTCTAGAGTTGTCTCACAAAAAACTAAATAATGATCGGTGAATAAGAACATGTTTAAAACACCAGCATTTGAGCATATTTGAGAATTACTGATAAATATAGGATCTAATAGACTACTTGAAGGTTTTGTTAGTCTAGAAGGTTGATCAATCACCTGTTGGAAGTCCTACACATTAAAATAAATCTGCAATTGGTTGTCAGGGTTCAATAGATTAATCTTCATATTCTCCAACAACAATAACATGATCGAAACTAGGCATTAGAAAGGTAAGAACATTATCAAAAAAGATAATAGCTTCGTTGATATTACTATCGGGAGGACGATAGGTTTTACACCGAGGGCTATACTCGGATCGCATATTTTAAGCTTTATCCATAAACTTTCAACTTTGGAAGATCAGTCAATACGGTCCTCCACTTTTATCGAATCACAAAGTAATTCATTCCTGACATAAATGCTATCTCTGTCTTTACGATAGAATTTATAACCTGAAACATATAATAGTGTATCTGGAATATTGCTGTTGAGCCATGTTTCAGAAAGATCAAAAATATCAAAATCATCTTTTGTGTCAGAGGAAAAACAGGAAGAGAAGGTAGAAGTGATCGGATATTCAAATGACCAAATCTTAATTTATTTTTCTCTTTCATAATTTAAGCTTATATAGAGAAAAGAATTGATTATTTACTTTAAATTTAAAATAATATTCCCGAAAAATGCTCTTGTTGATAGAATTTATATACTGGGCAATTTTTATCAGTAGGGGCATGAATGACGTCATTGGCTTTTTGTAGATTGATCTGCAAAGGAACAGTTGCAGCATGTGGTAGCTGACTGATTGCAGGATGAGCTGTCATGATTTTCTCCACATTTATAACACTATGAATGATTTTGGCATTTTTGCTTAGAATGTTGAAATCTGAAGCAATTGGTGCATTGATTAATTTCATTATTTTCATATACTGATGTATTTTGAAAACTTAATAAAATATTGACATTGTTTTGATCAAAAATGTATTTGTATAGTTTACCTGCCACTTCTGCAAATATAATACAAAGCTTTTTGTGTGTAAGGTTTTCATATTATGTAACATTTATATCTGCTTTGGATACAAAATGATTTTGTCGGATTATTTCTGCTTGAATTTACTTTTCGTTCGCCGGACATTTTATTACGCACTTTCACGCACTGCGATCTATCAGTCAAATCGTTCGTGAGCCATTGTAGAGCACTGTCGGGAAAACCATAATGTTTCAATTGTATACACAGAATCTTGTGGTTTACTATATCAAACGCTTTGCTGAAATCCAACTGATGTATTGTGTAGTTTCCTGAAACCCAACTGGGTGTCAGGCAAAACTTTATTTTGCTGTAAATGCTCACTAACTCATCATCTACTATTTTCTCTAACAACTTCAACATGATAGGTACAGCAGTGATTGGTCTCAAGTCCTTCAATTTTGTAGCATTATCGACTTTAGGGAGCGGTGCTACAATTGACTCTTTCCATATTGATGGTACTTCTGTGTCCAGGGACTGGTTCATAATACAAAAAGGAAACGCGTTTCTTAACATATTTTTAGTGATACCATCAACACTCGCAGCATTTGATCTCACTTCTTTTAATTTTGCGCAGTGTCATCTGGTGTAACGTGACTAAATGAAGATTCAAATACAGTAAAATTTTTGAATCCTGAAAATGTGTCCAGAAATAAGTCATCAGGCAGAACGGTTGGTAGAGAGTCAATAAAGTAATTGTTGATGGCTTCTGGGTCTTCAATTTCCTATTTGTCTGATTTTTTATTAATATTCCACTTGGAGAAATCATTCCAGAGTTGCTTATGCTTATTCCTATTTATTATTGAGTTGATGCCTTATATAAGCGGTTTTTTCGTTCTTCAATGCAGTGCCTGAATAATTTCTAAGTTCGTTATATGTGCGATGTTCTTCGGATCGCGTGCTTTTAAATGTATGGTATGCTTGTCGCTTCAAATTCATGAAACATTTTATGGTGTAGGTGTAGGTCTATAATTTTTAAGCTTTGTATATCTTTTCATTGGCTCATGTATATTATACAGCATGTTGATTTTTTCAGTGAAGTGAAGAACTTCTTCATCAAGATTTTGTAAATTATCTATGTGGCCCAATCCAACCACTTGTTCTTTCGCATAGTTTTAAATTATGAAATTGGTTGAAAAATATATTAATCTTAAAAAAGTGATATATGTATATTTTCAATCGTGGTTGGGTAAATGAAAAAATATATGATACTTTAAAGTTTAATTAGATGTTCAGGATTGAGGTTTCTTATATGTTCTCTAATATTTCTAACTTTTTGAAAAGCTGAATGCTTAAAATTTTGACCACATCTTCTAAAAGACATATAGTCTAATCATATTAGCAAATTTTCCTGAAATAATT